AAAACTAGAAGGAAAACGAAAAAGGAACAAACAAGAAGTTGATCGAGTAACCTATAAAGAAAAATGCAGTATAATTTATCAAAAAATCACCTATATCACTCAATTACACCTATAATGGAAGCTCATTTTCAAGACCTGATGCACATCTGAAAAATCTCGGCTAATTTTCAGCGATGTCAACTAACTATTTCTAACACCTCCAATCTATTCAAGATCACATTTATCAACAATAACTACATCATCATATTCCCCAGTACTTAGAAAGAAAAAAAAAGCATAACAATTACCTTTCTCCTGTAACAACAAAGATAAAAGACAGAACAAGGGAACATAAATTCATATTCATGTAATAACTAATATCAACGAAAGGAAAAACATAAATACATCCTCTCAGAAGGTTTCAAGTTCTGACCAATTCATTACACCAAGAACAATTCTCCTAAGATAACCCATACACTCAGCTGAAATAACGATTTAGACGCAGTTTTATTGAACACACACAATATAGAAAAGGGTTTAAACATCACTAAAAAATTGACACCATATTTCGAGCATTTAAATATTGAATGATTCACACGATACAACCAAAATACACAACAATTTCATAAGAAAAAAAAAAATAAAAATTGACGCCACCTCTGAAGCCCTAAGTACAATTAACCAACCAACATATCTAAACTATATATAAATATTTTATAATTATGCTCTATATAACCTGTCATCTTCGAATGCGAGCTCGTTTTCTTCAAGCTCGCCCACCTTTACCAGAACCTTCAAATATAATGAGAAAAAATAAAAAAAAATCGCCGTGAGCACAATGACAAAAATTTGTCTCCAACTCTCTAAATCTGAGAGTAGCCCACCTGAAGGTTGCTCGATGATGAATATCAGAGTGAACAATCAGCTCTACAACCTCTCGTTAAGGTGAGGTCAACGCCATTGTCTACACTGTCACAAGAGGGCTTTTCGTATACTGAGAGAGAGAGAGAGACGACCTAAAGTTAATTCTGTAATTAATGGATCCGAAACAGCCGTTTACCCCCCTTTTTGTGTTAAATGACGATAGTGTCCTCAGCATCATATATTTCACCGTGTAATGGGGCTTTATTTACGATTGTGCCACCGCGTCCCACATACGGCAGATGCGTGATTGAAATAATCTCAGTCGTTAATTTGACAGATCCGACGATGCATATTCGTTCTTATTTCTTACACCAATTTTTATTCTCATATGATCCCTTACCTGTATGATTTTATATATATTCGGTAAATTTAAGAAACCCACTGATGTTTTCACGTTGGAATTATAGTATACTTTTATTTTTCTCATTATTTTAATTTTCTTAATCATGAAATTAGTACAGTTAGTATTATGATCTAGTCAATTATCATAAAAATATATACGACTCATGCAAATTACAATTATAGTCGTCAAGCACAAAATTAACTTTACTAGAAAAAACTTCTTGTTGTTTAATTTACAGATTGGATTTGCTAAAGTAATCCATGACTAAAACATGCTTAATATTTACTATAATTATGTTACACACAAACACATACATTACACTTATAATTCCATAAACATAATGCGCATTTTAATACTTAGCAGATGAGTCCCAGCATAAAAGAAAATAATGATCGAAAATGAAAAGAGGATCTGATGACGTATGAAGTATAAAGTGAACGCCTAGATAAATTTTTAATGGCAAAATTTCAAAATTGGTCCTATAACTTGGCCACTGTCCAAAAAACCACCCCGATATTGACCACTTTTAATTTAGGTCCTATAATTTGTCGATTTCATCAATTTTGGTCATTTTTTATCATCCCCTGGATTACAAAGTGACGTGACATGATATGTCAATTTTTCAATGTTACATGGCGTGATTATGATCTACGTGGCACGCCAATTTTGGTCCTATAATTTGTCGATTTTATCAATTTTGGTCCTTCTTTCATTCCACGTCACTTTTTAATCTAGGGTGCGGATAAAAAAGGACCAAAATTGATGAAATCGACAAATTATAGGACCTACATTAAAAGTGGTCAATATCGGGGTGGTTTTTTGGACAATGGCCAAATTATAGGACCAATTTTGAAATTTTCCCAATTTTTAATTATTGGTAAATTTTGGTACAGATTTAATGTATGAAAAATAGACAGTTCGGGAAACAACAAAAGGAAAATAAGAATAAAGATGATAAATCAAATTTAAAAAGTAAGAAAAAATAATATGCTTAACATTACAGTTAAGTACAAATAACAAATATTAGACCTTTTTTTAATAAAGAAAAAGAAGAAAGAAGAAGATTAAGAGGTAAAAAAGAAAGAAAGAAAGGGAAGAATCAGGATGAAAATGCAGCAAGTAGGCCCATATTTGCCCATCATCATAGCCATAGAGCCTTTGTAACTTATTATGATTAAAATCTCCTAAGTGAATGGGAAATTAAATTATGTGCACCAAAACAGAGCTCTCACCTTTTCCTTTCTGTTGATACTCTTCTATCTAATGATAACTATTAATTGCATGCATGTTATCCATGTGAAAAATAAAAATAATGTAAACTGGGCCAACATGCTCTTTCTTTCAAATTAATTAGCATGATGAATCTTGATTGGGCCAACCTCAAGTTCATGAGTTTGGGCCCATTGCAACTGATGAGAAACAACATCCTATAAAATTATTAACTTGTAATGAATTTTCAGAAATCTCTTGCACATTTTCAAAAATTTCCTTAGTTTTTTTGGTTTTATCTTTCCCCAATTACCTTGTAGCTAGAGTATGATAATGCTGTCTATGTCTCTAACTGGGGGCAATTTTAACCACCCATATATGTAAGGCTAAAAATAAATAAATTAAATAAAAGTGAGTACAGTAATATGATCAACTCAAGAGGCAACATCAAAATTAATTCTAAACCATAAAATAAAGAGAGAAAAAGCATATGACTCCAAATGAGAAAAATAAAATAAACTAATAATGGGAATCAAATTCCTTGAAAAATAAGTAAATGGCTGGGACTGCAAAACCCCAAAAAGACAACAAACCTCAAACAAAGTGCAGATATAAAACTAAAAAATGATGATTGTGAGGTGCAGAAAAAAAAAAAAAAAAAAAAAAAAAAAAAAAGCTTTTCTTTAACTTCTCATGGAGATAAAGAACAATGTCTGTCTGCAGAGTCTTGCAAGAAGAACATGGGATCTGCATGTTAGAATCAATGAGAAGATCAATCAAATTAATGGATTTAGTTTTTGCAGCGATTGCTCGAACCATGGCCGATATTGCGTGGTTGCAGAGGGAAGTTTGAGGGAGAAGGAGAAGATGATGTCCATTAGAGATTCACTCAAAGATGTTCACAACATTCTTATCTTCTTGCAGGTGCACTTCATTATTATTATCATATATTTATCTTACAGAATTATTTATATACCAAAAAAATACAATCTTGGCTTAGTTATAATAACAATATTTTCCCTACAACTATAATTGACTCTGAAAATGGGTTTCATGTATGATTAACGAATTGCACAAGCAACACATGCATAGACCTAGAATTTTATGTGAAATTGGAGAAAATAAAGAATTGTTTTTTTTTAAAAAAAAAAATAATAATAGTCAATCATATCAATGCTTTGATGACGATTTTTCATTTTTCATTTTTTTTTTTAACTTTTTGGTTGTGAAGTTTAAACTATCCCCTTAAACCGATAAGTTACACTTATACTTTATTTTTTTATTCTAAAATAAAATGCAGGGGCTGAAATCAAGCCAAAACAAGCAAAGGGATGATGCATTATCCCATTTGGAAGAAAGCATAAAGATTGTGATACAAAGAATAAATGAATACCCAAAAAAAGGAAGGGAAAATGTGGAGGTTCTTGAAGAGCTGATCACCACTTTTGTTAATTTCCAAATGAAAATTGATGAGAAAGCCAAACACAAGAATGTGTTTGGTATTGGGAGGTCCAATTTTGTGGTTGGTGTCGCCAGATTTGGGGTAGAGTTTGTTGTGGCATTTGCAAGTATTTATGCAACTGTTAAACTGCACAACGGCAGGCACAAGAATAGCAATAAGTTGGAAAAAGATATTGTTGCACCATCAAATATCCATCTCGATGTGTTAAGTGGGAGGGGCTAATTTCTTGTTTTATTTTACTTATATTTCTTTTTTGTATATATTTTATTTTTAATATACTACTTTCATTATTATGTGACATGGAATAAATAAACAAATACTCCGCCCAGCCATAGTCATGATCTATCCAACAACATTTTTTAATTTTTCAGACGATTCTCCTGAATGTGAAATTATTGGTTAAGTTTTTAAAATAATTGTGGTGGATGATCGATCACCTCTTGTTGATTTTCATACCATTCTCCACCACTCAATTCTATCGTGTTGTATATCGTGCTAGTTATATCAATAAAATTTTTTCAATTGATTTTTATATACTTATATTTTGTAATGTTCTCATGCATACTTCGATATACACATAGTTGGATGTCCAACAGAACAAAAGAACGCATGATTTGTTATTAAAGATTGGTTTATTATTAAAAATAGATAGTTAAATTTCTCTCGATACTGTGAAAAGTTGCGTTTATAATTTTTGAAAAACTGAACCAGTTGAGTTATTGATAAATCGAATGATTCTAAATTAATCCTCTTGATTAAATGATATTTTTAAGATACGATATATATATTTTTTTTTTTTTTGGGTATATAGTTGGTTACCAAAGGAATAAGAAATCACTATGAGTTGTTATTAATGTTGATAAATAAGATATTCTACTGTAACATTGTGAGAAATATCATAATAGCTAGAATTTTCATAACTGATTTTCAATTTTTATTTTGTAATTATATTTGCAATTTTATCATGCATATTCAAATAATATTTTTTATGAAAACCTATTTGATAGATGCTTTTATGAAGACATGTTGTATGGTTAATTACCAAAAAAACAAGAAATTCTAGCGATTCGTAATTAATATGAAGAATCTAATTTCTATTGTGATAGTTTTCACAAAATAATTTTTAAAATGAGTACAACTTTATTTATATATAAAGTCATGCTATTAGCGAAATTGCACGATTTACGACAGGTTGGCTGTGTTCGTAATTAATATAAACTCATGCTATTAAATATGTATTAGCAAAAAATGAGTACAACTTTATTTATATATAAAGTCATGCTATTAAATATGTATTTTTATTTATAATTAAAATTATTTTAAATATAACAAAATTTATTTAAAAACTTGTATCGATTCTACTTGTCCGACCGACTTGTGTTGGTTGATTCGCTAGAGACGTTTTATTCAAACGAATTGGACTGAGTCGATAAATCGGTTTTCAATCCTTCCAGTTGGACTTTTCACATCTAT